AACTTTTGTAGCGGCACCAACTCTGAATTCTGTAGTTTGGATAGCGCGAACATCTTTTTTTCAGTGATTCATTAAAATTCCATGTATTTCACATTACGTGATCAAATTAGGAATGTCAAATAGCTGCAGTGATCGAATTAAGATCAGTTACCTAATTTGATCACTAATATCATTCGAATGTAATGAAAAAAACATAATGAAGATTGCACTACAGAATGATAAAAAATATATAGAAATGTAGATTGTCACCTGAGGAATCGAATGATGTAATTTTTTTCGCGATTAGAAACATTGTTCATATCGAAACAACTTTCGTTCCGAAGCCTCCATACAAATTGGCTGGGATGATCACATTAGGAAAAAAAATTAGCTGAAATAATCAAATTAGGAAATGAGCAGAACGGACAAAAATAATGAGTAGGTATTTTTTGTAACGGCTACTACTCATTAACAACTAATTGATTTTGAATAAAAACTGCATGAAAAGATAGAGCAATGTTTTTTCTATCCCGGAAACTAAAAATTATTTCAAACGGATGTCGTGAAGAGAAGTTATGAATTGTTTTCTGAAAAGATAAAAATTCATGATCGAATTAGGGTTAGGGACTCTATTGAATGCATTACATGCCTCATCAGATATGAAAAAATTGGCAATACATCGAAGCTTTTCTTCTTATTCAACGTTATACAAGATTTTAAACTGATGTATATTATATTGATATAAATTGTGTAAATAAAAGAAAGTTTTGAAGAGTATTTATTCTGACTTTTGCTGTCATTCTTTCTGTATAAGTGATCTTTTTCTTTTGATTGTTTATGAGATTATCAAAGAGAAAATCATTTATATTATATAATTGTTTATTCATCTTATACCCTTTTATAATAGTTTTCCATTTTGGCTAGTATCGATTCTTTTGTATTAATTCTGTGCATGTTCGACTATGAAATTTCAGTAATTTATCTATCGTAGTAGTGCTGATTCCTCCGATATTCTTAATGAATATATTCGGTAAGTTTTACATATGTTGTTAAATGATTCTAATACTAAAGATACGACTCATATGATGTAATTCTCACAAATCGGAGTCAAAGTGCAAACCAGTTTGTCAAGGGTGATTATTGATGTTCTACCTCATGTCAAAAAAATAAGATGAATGAAGAGCAAAACAGACACCCGTTTAATATGATCATTCGTTTTTCGTTGTCTTTTTTCTCATTTTACTTTTAATTAGATTTATACATCAATCATCTTTTTATCGCTACTCTGGTTTACATATATTCAGTGGTTTGACTATGTTTCTCATCTTATTTTCTTGCTTTACGATCGATGGTGATCATTTGAACAGTTGCTTTCAAAAAAATTATATTCTTCGTATAGTCTTAAAATATTTACAATTTTCAGTTATATATTCGAAATTTGATCAGAAAGATTGACAAAGATTGGCGCATACTTTAAAGAGATACAATTTTGTTCTGTAGAAATGGTTTTGATAAGTTTAAATGAAAGATTTTAAGACGGTTGTGGTCTACATTTCCTTCCGTGGAATTGATCAACATATTATTTTGTGTAAGTAGCTGTAGATGGTTAAGTTGAGTATTTGAATATTAGGTATAGCTGTTTTAATTGTCAATAGCTATTTTTTTCTTCTGAGTATGTTTATCTGCGTATCGATTAAGACTTATAGGAGAGTGACATAAAACGTTAATGAAAATTCTGTAAATAATTTATTACATCAAGGAGTTTCGCAACAGATGATATAGAAGAGAGCTATAAAACAACGCTTCAACTACTAAATGTTTTCAATTAATACTACACTGTAAAAACAAACATATGCACACAAAAAATAGTAAATGAGGAGGAGAAGTTATGTCACATTTGTCAGAATACATGAAAGTAGGTTAAAGTACGCTTAAGTAAAATCAAAGTACAGAAAAGTACGCCAATGTATATCAAGATACGCCAAAATCCAAAATATTCTGGTTCTCTCTTTCTCTCTTGTAGCTTATTGTTGATTGCTTCGAATACCAATTTAGCCATTAGGTCGTATCCAGCCGGTTTCAAATGAACCTTTTCATCCCAGATAAATTCTTGTTTGTTGCTGTCGTTTTGATCATAGTGCGGAATACCTTTGTCAAGATCCACGAGATAAACCTTATCCTGATTCTTGTGATTAATCGCATAATTTCGAATCATCTCATTCAACGCTTGTCTTTCTTTTTCAGGAGCGTCCATGGTCGAAAAGTGTGCATTTTCAAAGACAGTCATCACAACTAATTTTGTACGACCTTGTCCATGATGAAGAGCCATGTCATACATTGGTTTCAGACCTTCATAGAAAATTCCTTTGGCGAATGAATTATGGCTTAAATCATTTGTGCCACCCAAAATAATGATCCAATGATAAGGAAAATGACTTGAGTTAGCAAGAAGAGCCTTGAACCGTTGAAGCATGAAGGGTACAACCAACTCGCCACTCACACCTTTTTCATGCACAATAACTGGAATCTTGGCTGATGCGAACAAATCTGACAAATGATTGGCATATGGATGATAGTCTCGACCACCATGATAGTAGCCAGCTGTCAATGAATCTCCAATGGCAAGAATACGACGCGGTTGTTGTTCCGCGGCTGTTATGACAACCATTGTGTAATGAAAAAGAAGAAAAAAAAATACCGTCTCTCGTATCTCATACATTCGCTCACGAGTAAATGGAATGAAAAAAACGACGTTGTACATATATGACTCACAATCCGAACAAGCAAAATATTCTTGTGAAACAATGTGGAACGGTAAGGTAAAGTAATGCTTCATTATTGTAATTTTCTAGATGGCCCTATCGCGTCTGGTGACTAGTGGCGCAGCCACCGAAAGAGGAAGTCACTGATGGGCAATACTTTACTTTATTCTTCTCTCAGTAAAAAAAAAACCATAATACCATCCTGTAAAAATTTCTGAGTTATCGGATTCAAGACGAATACATCTTAGGATTAAAAATAGATGTCATCATTTCGAATGAAGCAGAAAAAAATAGAAATTATCCACTCCAGCAGAAGAATTGACAGACGCGACCAAGATTATATTTGAACTACATAAATCAAAGCTACTTGTCAACATTTAGTATGCACTCTTGAATTGAAAAAGACTAAAATAAATGGTCATGAATTTATTTCCAAAGTATGACAACAATAATACACAAAAACTTTCGTATTAGTGTTTTACTAAATAAATAGAAAGAATAAAGAAAATTACGTGGATTTTGTCCATCGTTTAGTTCATATTAAGCGAAGCACTGAACTGGAGACTACTCAAGCCTGATTTTTTAGTTCTTGATCCAACCGACAGGTTTATTCGTTTGCACGTGTGAATTTTGTATGCTGCAATTTCGTTGAATGATTTGACCCACATTTGCATTAATCCTATCCGTATATCGACCCGTTGTAATGCCATCAAGTTTTTCTACATGTGATCCCAAATGTTGATACATAGTCAACTGAAAGCTTGTCCACAACCTTTAACTTTCAGTGTAACCAACAAAGGTAGAGAAGATAAGAGATGGACAAGCAACGATATGCGCCAATTATTGAAATCAAGATCGAGACAACGGACATGATATCGCGGCTTGATACGTATAGTTGATCTATTTGTTCACTATGAAAATCAGCAGACACATAAACAAGTTTGACCGAAGGGAAGATCAATTTGACTGGTGAGTCACAATACAATGCACATGAACGTGAGTTTGCGCACTTCAATAGAATAATTCGTCGAAGGGAAGAATGACACAACGAAATTCCGATAATTTCATGATTGATCGGAGTCAGTTCTGAACCGACTAGTGATAGTTTGAAATTAATCAATTGAGACAGTTTGAAAATCCAAATAAACACAGTAGTGGAAAAAAAACAAAATGGTTTACCCATTTATAACACTGTATTGTGTATGTAGAAGTTCCTGTTTATTTTGATTTTGTAAGAAAGACTCATATTCTTAGGCATTTTTGTGTTCAAGTTCGTGCTTTTGAATTTTATTTCTTTGACTTCAGTATTATTTATTAACATTTTGTCTAACCTGCTTAATCATATTGAGACATCCTTGTTCCTGTTCATTACTATGGACAATGGAAAGTGATTTAAGATTAAAGAATATGGCTACTGGAATCGCAATATGGTTCAATGTGAAGTGAGATGATTTGATCGGGAAAACAGTTCCATGGGGGAAAAGGCATTTGACGGTCAAGATACAAATGAAGTTATTGACGTTGATCGAAAATACACGAAGTAATGAGTGGAGTGAGATTGAAGAACGGTTGGAAAATTTCTTTTGTATTGAAATATTCGAAATGATAGAGGATCAGTTCACTCGACAGACATTCAAATGTAGAATAACGAACTTTATTGTAGAAATTCAGATGACAAGTTGACATTCAGACAAAACAGGATTATCTTACTTTGTTCGCAAGTTATCTTGAATCGTTTTGATGGACGATGATCATCGATGCTTTCTTTCTTGTTTTCAAAATCAACAATGAAATAAGTATAGCTACACTATAAAAATATTTGTGCCTACAGAAAGAAGAACCATCGTACCACTTTTATTATTCATTCGGTGATCTTAAACAATAGAACATATATCTTCTGTTTCTATTCTTTTTTTTGTATTGGATAGTGAGCTTTTCTATTCATTGACAGTAAAAGGTCATAACCGTTTTTTCTACAAATAATGATTCGATAAAATGAGAGAAAGAAGATAGGACTATTATGAATATAGGTACTACGTAGATATATAGAACTTGAACAGAATACTGAAGTTTGTTTTTTTTTTTAGAATTTTATTTTTATCAAATATTAAAGTTGTTACTTTTCAATCTTCTTCAAATACAACGTTACCCGTTAGGTGTCTGGATATTTTTTGGACAACTTGTATGTGTAATGTTCTTAATGTGTTCTGCAATAACTGATTATTTCCATAACGTGTTCGGGGAAATTCATTTCATCATTCAATTGTTGACCTTTTGTAAATATTCGGATTTTGATGATGGTGAGGAATCAGCAATACCATTGCTAAGCACTTGTATGTCCCATTCGATTTTATTTTGTTCAATCATTTTATTGTTTTCTTCTTTTGTTTTTTCATTATGTCTATACTTGCCCGAATTGTAAGACTTTCAATGTTGTTAAAGTTCGGTTTACTTTTAATGCATCTCTTAATTTCATTAATCCTCTCTGTGAAATACCATTAAATGTAAGATCAATCGACTAATTTCTGCTGCAGCCTCATCTTCGATGACATTATCCAAACCACCAAGCAAGATCGTTGCTTTCATATAACCAAGATTTAATTGTTCAAGTGATAGATAATCAATAAAATCATCAACTAAAGGTCGTGCAACATCTGAATCAATGCAATTTGATGCCAAGTCAAGTCGTTTTTTAGACATTTATCATGTTTCAATCCTGCAGCTATTTCAGAAGTACCTGCATCACCTACTGCATTGTACGACATATAGAACGTTTCTCAATGATTGTCATTTTGTTCAAAATATAAACGTATTATTCATCCACTCTTGACAGTTAGACCATTAGTATCAATATATAAATTTTTTTTAAAGTATGATTTAATTTTAAAGCATTGAACAATATTTTACAACCTTCACCTAATAAACCAGTATTCAGTAAATCTAATGTTTGCAAATAATTGTTGGTTGGTAACATTCGAGCAATGTAAACAACTTCAGTAGCTAAAATAGGATTTCATTTTAGCCAAAGTGGTTTAACTTTCGTATCCGTAGCTAATACATCACATATCAATGACATACATTCACTATTGAAATTATTTCCAGCAATATACCATGTATTAATATTTAAAATCAAGGTTGAAGCGAACGTATTGAGGAATAACATGAGATTATCATCATTTGGTCCAGATTTATTTAACCCTTCTAGTACCGGCCTTTTTAAAGCACCATACGGACAACATATGTTTTCATAAAGTGATTCTTTTACTTTTGGATCACTCTCGTGATGAAATCTGCTGTCTTCATCTGTGATCTGATACGATCTTCCAAGAATCTTACAGTAATTTCTTGTCTGAAGGTAAGATCTATCATACATCTTATTGTATGACTTAGTATGAGATTGCAGAGACGGCAATTTGTTGAATGATTTTATCTGATCCGATACGATCTGACGTCTGGTTTTTCGACTTGGGTAGATAAACTGGCATCAACTGGGACAGTAAATTGATATATAAAATTGAATATCAAAAAAGAAATTGTCTTGTTCTTCATGATTTTACATGCTTTCAATATCATATCTTGACTCTATTATCCAAAAAATATAAAACAAGAAAAGCAAGTCATAACTTTGATCTACAGTGATATAAATCATCACCATGTTAATTAGAGATGTCAAAACCGCTCAAAAAAATGTTTTTTAATGTATTGGAAATATATATCCACTTAGATTAGTGAATGTGTCATTGGATTATATATTGTAATTTTTACTTTTTCTTCTTTCTTGTTGTGTTTGTTGTATACTGAAGATATGGTCTTGTATCAAAAGCTTGTAATAATATGCAAAACAAATATATTTCTTTTTAGATTCAACAACGTATATCTATTCGTAAAGGTTACTAAGTTACTTCTAAAAACCGGAAAAAAACAAAATATTTCTAGTGTATTTTTAAATTTTTGTGTTGGAGTCAAAAATGATCCCGGCTGGTACTACGAGGGTTAATATCAAATGTTCTAACAATAGTTGAATTCATTCTCGAAAACATCAATGGACAGTAAGTACAACTTTATGTGACACTTTCAATGACAATGTTTTTTTCTCCTGTATGCATCTTTTTCTTTTTTCGTTTTTCTGTTCTGCTGTCTAGTTTGGACAAATTGAACAGACAAAATAGCAGGACATGTGAGTTCGAAAGTAGAGAAGAAGAACACGTCCGATTTGTTGTCTTATCTCACATTCATTGGCTTTACATATAAAAATATTTAAAAAAAAATGTATGACACATTTTATTTTGTGAGAAAAATCAACTTATTCTTTTTCCAATATTATTGATAATGGCCAAACAACTAGCTACATGTGTAAGTATGCTTTTCAAATTTATAAAAAATAATTTAGGAGATATTTGCAAATCTTCATTTGTTTTATATAGGATGATGATGATGAAGAAATAAGTGATAATGATACTTTTGATTATGATCATGAGTTCTTCGATCATGATCCTTGTAAGTTACTAATTTTAAAAAAATTCACTTTATTAAATTTTATATTAATCGAAGTTTTTGATGAACGTAAAAATGGAATTATTGGTATTGAATCATTTACTGAATGTTTTACAAGACGTTATAAATTTTGTCCGACGTTTTTTTTGGATTCTCTTCAAGATGCTTGTCAAACAGCTTTCAATTCGAAAGTGATTAACGAAGTTCGTTTACCTCTACTTTTATCATTATATAAAAAACAGAAAATTATATTTCTTTTTTGCGTTATCCGGTACTCGTCTATGGACATCATGATCAGAACATGTTTAGTAATATATTTTGTTCAGATATATTCTGTTCGAAAATTATTATCGAATATTTACGTGAAAATTATATTGTTTGGCCTTGGGATATAACATTCGAATCAAAAAGAAACCAGTAAATGATTGATTTTCTTCATTTTATTTTCAAAAAAAATTTTTATTAGATTGATACAAATCTGGAGTGAAATGTTTTCTATTGAATTCTTGAATGTTTCTATTGTTGAACAATGTCCGATGCTTATTGGAATAATGCGACGATCTGCAAGAACAAAAGATTGATCATTAACAGGTGAATATGAAGTCAAACTATTGCTCAATGGTGATACATTAACACGTACTCAAGAAAGATCAACTTATGAAACATTATTACGTGAATTGATCATTTTTAAGGAAGAATTTGATGATAATGAACAAGCTTTACTAAGTCTTTGATAATTTCATTTTAGTCATTCGATTTTATAACTGGAACTGGTCTTTGTTGGGAACTGTTTCTTGAAATAATCAAATATCTTTCATTAAACGACATAATCAATGCATTTTCTGACAATATTCTTCCTTTATTATGTAAATATAAAACAAATGTACATGTTTCTGAATCTTCTTATACATTTATCAATATGTTCATTCAAAAAATTCAACCTAAACAAATTATTTCCTTACATCTTAATGAAAATTCATTCTTAAAAATGAAAAAACTAAATCCGTCAATTATTTTTCTAAATGTTATCTCATTGACTCTTCTCAACTATCAATCAATGAATACAAAGAATATTTTCCTAATTTAATTCGTCTTTGTCTTTGGTATGACAATCAAGTTAATTTTAATATGTTGAATGAGATCTCTTCTCAATTTTGGAATTCAATTAAACGATTTGAAATTCGTTGTGCTGGACCAATTTGTATACATTATAATCTCAATGAATTGACTATGAAATATCTTAGAAATTATACAATTGAATATCTTCTACTTGATGTTGGGCATCTTCCATTGCCTTCAATTTATGAATGTTTAAACTTTCAAGAATTATGTTTTTTAATGATAACAAGTGATTTTATCAGTAAAATTCGTAATGTTCGACATGTTCATCTCATTATTATTAATGAAGACAATCTCAAGAAATTGTTAAGTGCAAGCGAATGGACGAGATTAGCAATTATATGTCATCAATTGAAGAAAATAACATTGCAAATTATGAGAAGTATATTAGAAGACCAACAATTAACAAAGAAAATTGCATAATGTGAGAGAAGCAATCAAATTTCAAGTTATATTTGTGTAATTAATTCTATTTCATTTTTTGTTTTGTTCATATTTGTCCTTCATAAAATGTTCTTTTTTTTTAAATATAAACAAATATAATAATATAAGAGTTCAATAACTCGTTTGTGAACTTTGAATTGATATATGAACTATTCACACTCATTGACGTCGTTTAATACATTGAGATTAGATCGAAAAGTCGCTCTTTGTTAGTATGTATAATTTTTCGTGCTCTATAGACCTGTAAGATTTAAAGAGCATGCAAAAACGATGTGTTAGGATCTAAATCTACAAAAATTTCGTTTTTTTAAATCCACACTGATTTTGTGACTGAGTGATAAATACTTATTATTGAGTCAGTTTTTGATCAACATAGTATCGCTCATTTCAAAGAAGTGTTATAGTAAACATGAAACAACTTATACAGGGTATATAAAAAAGTCTCTTTCCAAATGTAATTTCGTATAACTCCACGATTAATTGAAATTTATCAACTAATTTGCTTTTTTCTATGATAACTGACTCTACTGAATTTTTATTTCTATGTATCAACTTCAAAAGTACTGTTCAAACCTAGTAGACGCACTTGTTGGGTAGTGATCAAAATTATATTAATATTTCATACCTTCGTATTTGGATTAATATGGAATGGAACGAGAAATGTACTTATGATTTTCGAGATAATTTAAAAGAACAAATATTCATATTGGTGAATCGATTTTCAAACTATAAAAAATCTTTCGAATTGACTGCCGAAATTTCATGGTGCTTACAATGAAGAGCGAAATCATGTTCTTCTTCGTTT